AATATTTCAGTGTATTTATTCTTAGGATTCTAGTTTGTATTAAAAGGTGTAAGAATTCATTCTTCATGCATTTATATATGCCCATAAATTATTATCATTGTATTAATAAATAATTCTTAAATTAATATTGTGGTTATCCATAAGAAAGGAGACTTCAAGATTTTGTATTATTTTTTCTAGATAATAAAATTGTAAAAGAGTTTTTAATTGCTTAAGGGTAAATTTTCATTTCTCGTGAATTATTATCTGGTGATATTGAAAATTTGCTCAGCTGTCATTGTGAATGAATCTGAAATTCCATATTGATAGAAAATCTTAAAAAAAATTTTGAAAGCTTTCTGATTCTCTAGAAGTTAAAAAAAATGTAAATTGAAGTATGTTATAAGATTTTAAACAAAGATTTCAAATAGTATATAATTCACATTTTGAAGATTTCTGATGTATTATCAGTATACTGAACCTAAGTTTCTTATGAGTTGTAAATTATTTTTACCTGTGTTTGCAACATTGCAGTTGGCAGTTTGTTGCTGAAACATAAGGCTATAATTGAGTTGCCAGTAATGAAATGACATATAGCTTCCATTTTGAAACTTTTGCATTCTTAATTATTTATCTTTTTGTAATAAATGTTGAAAGATACACTTTATGTGTATTTTATTTGCCATTTAAATATGTTGTATTTCAATCTAGAATTTCCACCTTGCAATAGTGGCCAGTTTCGATGTACCAACGCAATCTGCATTCCTACGAGGTGGAGGTGTGATGGCCACGCTGATTGCACAGATCACTCAGATGAGGTTAATTGCAGTAAGTTTTAGTGCAGTTTCCTGTTTTATCATTATTAATATTATCTTTAATTTACTCTATTTTATTCTTTGTATAAATATTCATGCATTGCCATTTAATTTTTGTTTAGTTTTTGGTTTAAAAAAAGCTACTGTTTTTATGATGTGCACATTATTTGTGCCATGTAGTTTCTTCATTGAAGTTTTATTTCTTAATTTTAGCTTTGATCTCATGTCCTGACACAAAGTTCCTCTGCCCTCAAGAGAAAAAATGTATCGATAAAAAAAAGCTCTGTGATGGCACTCCAGACTGTGAAGATGGAGCTGATGAAAAAGATGCTTGTTGTATGTATCAGTTGTAATTTTGTTGATAAAAGTATAGTGTTGAAAAAATAATTGTTTTTATATTATTTCCCAAAGGGAATTAATTTGAATTTATTGTTTTTATTAGTTACCCAATTATTTGAGTTTATTGTTTTTATTATTTTTATTTTATTTGAGTAATATTACCACACTGATCATATTGAGGTATTTCTAGCAGCATATAGACTAAAAATAGCTTAGAAATTCATTTTCTAAATGGAGCTAAATTGAAATCTTACAAAATTTTATTCCTGTTTCCCAAAGAAAAATTTCCTTTCTGGAAGAGTATTGGGGTGAGACGCAAATTTATTTCAATTGCTGACCCAAATGCCGTATATTATGCTGCTGATATTTGCATATATTTATACTTCCGATGTAAGACATGTTAGAATTTAATGTTTTAATTCATCAAAACTTATTTGGAATTGCATCCAGTATTAATTATTTTTTGAACCTTTCAGCATCCCAGTTGTGTATGTCTCTGAGGTGCGAGCATGGTTGTCGAGCTTCATTAGAAGGCGGAGAGTGTTATTGTGGACCAGGAATGCAAGTAGATCCAATGAACACTTTGAAATGTATAGGTATGTCTGTCTAATGCGATATTAATTATTTGTCCGGAAAAGTTCATAGAAATGTTAACATGTACTGAAGTGTTAACATTTCTCGTAACATCTTTAGGAAATGTTAACATGAGAAGTGCAGCCATTAGCCATGAGTGCAACAGTAGTCTGATTTATTTAATGAATAATTTAGGAAGGCCAAAAGAAATGTTATATCGTTAAGGAAATAAAAATAGTCAAGGAAATTAAATAAAGTTAAATTGTTTATTTAATGACTGAGTCCTACATGGCTATGAACATGCAGAGAAACAAAATAGGGTAATACTTGGTTACATTACACCCATAAAATAGAAAATAGTTTAATGGAATTGTCCAAGGATGTAGCAAAATTAATGTAAAATATTGATGTAAATCAATACGTTGTTAAAATGAAAAGTTGTTTTTACTTTAAAAAATTTTTTTTGAATGAAATTTAATTATTTAATGAAAAGAAATAAATGCAAAATTAATAATAATGCAAACATTTTGAACCAGGTTGATTTAATAATAAAATTCTTGTAAAACAGTGAAAGGTTATTTGAAAAATTTACTTTGTGTGAAGTTTTATTGTGCATGGTGTCATTATTTATGTAGAAAAGACCTTTCCAGGACTTTTACATTCCAAGAGTCCTGCTAAAGTTAAGTAATGTTCCTGTAGGGTAAAGGAAAGGCACTTAAATTCTTTTTTTGTAGTACACAATCTGTAAATAAGCAACATAATAGAAAATGAATGCTTGAATGTTTGCCTGTCTCAGAAAACAATTTCTCTATATTTATTAACTCGTGTAAATGTAACACTTGCTGCAATCATATATTAGGCCTCCCTTTTGGGGAAAAAATGCTTTCAATCATATGCAACTATGAGTTTAAAACTGCTTTGCGTCTGAGATCTTAATTTGGCTCAGGTATATTACATATTGATCTTTTGCATTAATTATTCATAAATCAGTTATTTATAGCCTAAAGGAAGCATGCAGAATGCTTGAATTATAAACTTTATTAACAAATTATTACAAAATATATTTTTATATGACTCCTATAATGTTATATATATATATATATATAAAACATTAGAGGATATATTTGTAAGTTTAAAGAAAATGCAAATCAAAATTATAATGTAAAATGCCTCATAATTGCTCATTTTTAATTTGGGTACTTTGTCTCTAGTAATAACGTTCTCTAAACTGCATCATATCTGAAACGGGTTCCACATTATGTCATCTTGAAACTTCTGCATTGCCTATAATTTTTAGCCAATCAGATTAATGAAAAATTTTACTATAAATATTGTTGCAATCCTACCCCCACCCTCTTTCTGTGCTTTGATTTGGGTGAAGGACGTCTCTTGCTTTGCTCTTTTAGTTTAAAATGTAATGTGCCATCAACAAAATTGTGGGGCGCATTGTGAAGTAATTGTGAAGTGCCACAAGTAATAAAGGTATATTTGGAATATCAAGTGATTTTTCTGATTCTTCAAAAGTTCCTGACTGCCAAACTAAATTTTATATGTTATGTATGTTTGTGTGTATGTACCTGCTTGTTACATTCATCAGTTAAATAATTCAAGAATAAAATATCATTAATTATACTAATTAAAACTTGGTTTTGATGTCAAAAAACTTAATTTCTGTATTGAATGCTAAAAAGAATCTTTCATTACTCCCTCTCTCTGAACTTGAATTTATCTTGATATTACATATTACAGATATGAATGAATGCAGCGAGTGGGGCTATTGTGAACAAGTCTGTATCAATACAATGGGAAGTTACATTTGTTCTTGTGTTTCTGATTACAGTCTTGTTGCTCCTAAACATTGTAGAGCTCATAACAGTAAGTATATTTTTTAATAACATTGCAAAATACTTTTCACATCTATTCCAGTATATTTTATGCTTTTGTTATTATAACAGAATTTGGCTGCTATCATGTGGACTTTATAATTAGAAATCAAATAATCTAATAAATGGATATTAGAAGTAGTAGTTATTATGAAAGTAAAAGTGTTAGACAACATTCGGTCATTACGACATGTAATTATTATGAAGATAACATGTAGTTATTGTGTTTATATTATGAATATATGATTGTGTTTATATTATGAATATGTGATTATGTTTACATTTAATTGTTATATTATTCAATTTTGATTTATATTACTATGTCTGCATTTATTACTGTATTATTTTCTATATTTACTCTATTACTGAGTACATCGTTTTATTAAATGCCCATTTGTGATATAATGATACCTGGTCACTTTGCAATTTTTTATTTAATAAATGGTTGTTTTTTCTTCAGTGCATATTTTTGTAACTTTTTACAGTAAAAGTGGTTCTTAATTTGTAGCCATATTTTGAAGTGATTTAACACTTTGTGGTTTTATATCTGAAATCTACAAAATCTTAAAATCTGCACAAACTCTGGTCCAAGTATTGCAGATATCTGGTGTGTGTGTGTGTGTGTGTGTGTATTCATGATGTATACATGGATATAATACATTCATGTTCTGAAATTGGAATATCATCAATACAGTCAAAAGTCTTTAATCCGGACTCGTCGGGACTTCGGCGATTCCGGATTATCGATTTTTCCGCATTATAGATCATCAGTTTAAATCTGGTAAGATGGCATGCAGAAATTAAAAATTAAAAATATGAAACCGTATTATAAATAAAATACAATTATGATCTAAAGGGTATCAAAATTTACCAAAAAAAAATTAATATTTATTTGTTTACTTTATTAAACATTTCTTTCAATGCACATGCGTAAAGCATACCTTAGGCATAGTCGAAATTAGAACAATTGCAACCAGAAAACTATTTGATGTGTATTCGTGATATTTATAATGACGAGGAATTGATTTAAATCATATCAAAGACGGAGTAACATCGAATTAATACTACATTTAGTAAGGAATTATAAGCGAATAAATAAAAACATCTGCCTGAAGATAACGATAGTGCTGACAAATCAACTTCCAGTTCATTGCGCCCGCGATGTCCCCCCCCTCCCCGCGCAGAGCAGCTGAAATTGATAACAGATTTCGGAACGGTTAGATAAACAAAGAATATGCCTTTATCCATTTTGTAGCAATTCGTTTTTTGTTTGATGACATCGAAACATCTTTCGTTTCTAGATCCTTGGGAGCTCCAGCATCGGAAATTCTATTTGACATAATCGAAAGTTCAAGCTTACTTTTAAAATTGCTCTTAACAGTCTGCAAAAAATAATAAGCCGATCCAATTCGACGATTAAGAACACAATCATCACATTAACTGAAATAGATATTAGATATTTAGCTTATACAGTCCGTTATACATTAAACGCGCACGCGAAAACGTATTCGCACTTGCGCATACGCATATGCGCAGTCGTAATGTCTTGCATGCACGATAAGCGCCTTGCGCATGCGTCATGCGGCGCATGCAGAAAGATTTAGCTTTGAGGTCCGGATTATAGATCATTCCGGATTATGGGTGTCCGAATACGACTTTTGACTGTTAGATTAATAAGAAAGGCTGTTATCTGAACGAAAAAATTTTTTTTTTATCATCAGACTTTTAAAAATGTCTCAATAAAATACAGAAGATGAAAATATGGAACACCTTGTGAAATGCATGTTTGAAAGAAAGATTGATTTATGAAATATGTGGTGGCGGCATTTTTGACTACTGACGCCACCTATAAACTTAAATGTGCTAAACAGTTCAGTTGTTGTCGGAGTACTGTTATGTGAGGTTGTCATTGCATTATGTCAGAGTTAACAACTTCGAAGTGGGCAAATTGTTGGAGCACTTATGGTAGTGCTTCCGTAAGCAAGGTAGCCGAGGTGTTTTAGTGTTTCAAGAGGTATGTATCGAAGATTTTTTCCGCATATTTGAAAACGCGAAAAACATCATCTGCTAAATCACAGCGCGGACAAAAGGTGTCCTGAGTGATCGTGACAGACGATCATTAAGGGCAATTGGCACGAAAAGTAAGAAGACCACGCTGCAAAAAGTTCTGCTGAAATAATGTTGTGTTACCGAACTTGATACCAAAAACAATTAAAGAGAGCTTCATAAACGGGAATTGCGGCCGTGCTGCAATTGAGAAGCCACTCATCAGTGTGCTAATGCCGGAACAGGAAAAGGGGTGTTTAAGTATAAAGCCTGGACTATAGAGCGAAGCGAGTAATATGGTCGACGAGTTTTTTCACATTGTTTCCTCCCCATTCTGGCCGAGTTTCGTCTGGAGACGCCATCTCAAGCCTAATACAGACTGTTGTTGCCAAGAGTGACATGGAGGGTTCTGTTATGGTTTGGGCAGCCATATCGTGGTTCTCTGCTAGCCCCATGATAACCTGTGTCAGGCACAAGACTGCCAACTTATGTGAACATTTTGGCCGATCAGTTCATCCCATGGTACAAACTTTGTTCTCGATGGTGATGTGTCTTCCAGACGACAAAGCCCCTGTTCACACAGCTACATTGTCAGACTGGTTTCTGAGCACCAGGATGAGTTGTCCCATCTTCCCTGGTCACCACAGTCACCATACCTGATATTATCGAACTTGTGGTCTACATTGGAACGGAAAGTGCGTTCTCGTTATCCCCGCCAACACGTTATCTGCACTGCCACCGTTTTGCAGGAAGAATGTATAATATTCCCTTGGCAAACATACAGGAACTGTTATTTATCCATTCCAGAAGACTGCCAGTGTTTGGATGCCAACGGGTTTCCTACACCAATTACGCAAAGAACTGTTTTTTTTAAAGGGTTTTCATATTTTGTCCACCCCTGTATGTCTTATGATAATAGAGTTTTTTACCATCTAAGGAATTCACCATTTTTGATCTGCTCATGAAATCTATATTTAAAGATCATTTATTAACCCTCTGACTGCTCAATTTGTTGACCAAAATCGCTTTAAAAATTGAGTTTTTTTATTTATTTGTTTTTTATTATTATAAAATTAAGCAATATATAAAATTTAAGAAAATATAAAGCACTGAGGGAAAAATATTTTAGAAATGCAGTTTACTATGATAAGAGTTCAAACCAGGGTTCAAGGCAAAATCCAATTTCACAGTCTTTGCACCAGATTCAAGAAATCTAATTAATAATCAATCTAATTATTAATCTAATCTATAAATCTTAATTAATAATTCAATAATTTAATTAAATAATCAAGATAATCGCTGAATGTTTTCTAGCAGCCATTTCTTGTAAGAAAAAAGCAGCAAAAAGTGGAGTTTGAGCAGTAATACCACGTGCCTTCAAACGCCCCAATTTAGTGGACGATTACGGATATCTGTTCGCCAAAGTGTAAACTAAATGTCTAATACTGTATATAATTTATTTCAGTGGTTAAATGGGGAAAAAATGGGATGTGCTCCTCAATAAAGGAATTAAAAGACATGCCTGCGGAAATCGTGGGATGAGCAGATTTTGCTACATTTGAGTTGCCTGTGGAAATCGTGGGATGAGCAGCCAGAGAGTTAACTAAATTTGTATAATTATGTATTTTAATCGGTGTTTTCATAAACTTTGTATAACTATGTATTTTAATCGGTGTTTTCATAAACTTTCATTCATTAAGATGGTATTTGCATCATTAAAGAATGTAAGAAAGCAAAATATTTTAATTTATAAACTGATATATATCAAAAGGCAGAAATTCTTATAAGTGCTAGGGGATCATGGTGGGTAAGGGAATTAAAAGAAAATTCTGACATGATTTTTTTCACCTGGTAATCCTGTTTATGTATTATTATATTACAGCAAGTGAACAATTGCAATTCATAATTCATTGTGGTATATATATACAGAATTTGCATAATTTTGTTTTTATCTCTACACTTGTTGCAAAAGAGTATGTAATCCAAATATGACTTTCTTACTGCATCTGTACTTGCAGTGCAGTAACATTATTGTTTTTTTATTACTTTATTATACAGGTTCTGCAATGAGGCTTATTTTTGCTCACCATAGTGCCATCTATAAAGTAAATGCTGAAGGATCTTTGTTAGAACTAGTCACAAACACAACTGCCGCTAGTGGATTAGATTTTCATTACCACAAAAACTTGCTCTTCTGGTCTGATACTGTAACACGCAAAGTAAGTTTTTTTTATATATATGTTTAAATTTTTAAACTCAATCTATAATAATTTAGTTACATATTTTGGAGCAAGCTATTAAATTACTGTAGATTGAATATCATTAACCTATTCAGGATCAGCTGCAGGTATACGCAACGCAACGATTCCACTCCTACCAGCCCAGCGTACCGGTACCGTATACGCGACGCAGCGTTTCTCCTACTATCAGCCCAGCATCACATATACGTAACATTAAAATGGAACTTTTTATTTGAACTTTTAAAAGCCAGTAGATGGAGCTAACTGGTAACTGTTTTCACATGGGCTGATTCATACGGCATTTGGCCTTCACGTACTGCCATTAGTTTCTGTTTTGTGCTTCTAGTTTTGATAGATTTATTGAAATAAACAAACTATGAATCACAGCTCTTTATAAATGCGTCAGACTCCTATAAATGTTGGTTCACTTTTCAAACTGTTGTCACAAAATGTTAGAGTCCTGCATTATATTTGAAGAAATTAAATAATGAAAAATCTGCATAAATGTATGTATATTTCTTGCATTATCATAAACCAACGGTATCTAGAGCCATCCAGTTTTGAATGACGTAATCCTACTGCGGATATGGACACCTGAAATACCAAATTTGAAAATTGGAATTTGTTTTATTATCGATTTCATATTTTGTGAAACTTTAACGAATTTTTGAGTAACAAACTCAACAGTTTAAAAGCGAGCAATGGCAACACATTTTTATCTCCAGCGCGTCGAACTGTGTATCTGGAATTCTAAAGATATGCTCATTTTAAAATTATTTTGCGACATTGCTATTGAACTAAATTTTATGCTTTAAGTGCAAAGAACATGATATTCAATAAATAAAGGTAACAAACAAAACGTTAAAAAATGCCCCTTTGGACATATGTTAAAATCTGAAACATTTCAGATTTTTTTGCTTTTTCTTTTTTTTCTTTCACCTATATTTATTTTGGAACTTAACACAAGCTTTCTTGGTTAATTAAAAAGTAACATTATTACAGAAGGGGAAAGACTATCAGCTTTCTCGACGCGTAATGCGTCTTACTTGCTCGCATTTCTCAGGAAAGAGCCAGCATTTTTGTTTTTCTTACTCAATTTAATAGGGCATTATATATGTCTTGAATTGTCATTATATATAATGACACAGGCATTATATTTTGGTTTATAATGTACATATTGATGTGATCAATAGCGGATATTCCACCAGTGGAGGGTCTTTCCTTGATCACTTTCCTGTCATCGAGGACACCGTTTTCGATTTAGAAAAACAGGAAGTTTTCTAATATAAACCTGATGTCACACAGGGTTTGAGGATGAAATATTTCTGAGTGTCTTTTGAAGAAGTTTTTGGATATGTGTTGGGGTTATATTCAGTTTCATTCTGTTAGTCATGGCTGAGAGAGCTCAATTAAAAACTTAAAAATTTGTCCAAAATCCCTAGACACTCCACCTTTCCATCTAACTGGAAGACAATTTTCAAAAATTTACTTTAACGGAAGAGGTAAAGATAGGAGAAGATGCATTGTGTGGGCTAAAACCAAGGAAAAGTGAAAGCAAACAACATATTTTGAGTGCAAAATATCAACTGTAGGACTGTGTGTTAATCCTTGTTTTGAATTATTTCACACACAACAGAATTTTTAAATTGGAATTTAATTACCTACAGGTAATTCTTGTTTAGTTTTTTTTTAAATTTCATATTTGTACTTTTTTTCATGCTTATGGTATTTATTTGTGCATATATTTATGATCTTAGTATTTTGCCTGTTTAATTTATTTCTATTAATGTGATATTCTTTATATTAATACACATTAAAAATAAGTACATTAAATACGCAACTTCAAAAATTGATGTCATAATATCAAAATGCTGATTTTATACGATTTTGTTTCTAAAATTAGGCATAACTGCTGAAAATGCGCGGGCCGGTGACGATGATCTATTTCAAGGGGTCCGGTCCCGTGACTGCGCTTCGTTCTCCCAGCGCTTGGCCTTAAGGGGTTAAAGAATTGACAATGCACATTGCATTCCCTTCAAAATATATTAGATACAAAATGATGCACTTTCAAACTTCTTGCTACCTTTTATGAAAATGTTAATAAACTTTTTTAATTTGATTTAGATTTCAGTAGTATAACTTTTGCTTGGTAGAATAATTTTTGGACTTTTAAATGGTCATGGAATTTGTAGATTGTGAAAGAAACTAAAAATTGAGCTTCCTCTACATATATATGTTTATTTTCTTGTAAAATAATGTGTGAAAATATATTTGTGTATATTATAGTAATTAAAATATTTTCCAAATTAGATTTACTCTATAAAAGTAGATCCCTGGAGGGAATCGGAATACATTTCTGACTTCAATGTCTCTTTTCCCTGGAGCCCAACAGCATTTGCAATTGATTGGATTGGAAACAAAATCTATATTTGTGATGCAATAGGCCAAAAAATTGATGTAATGGAGTTAGATGGTAGTCAGCATACAATTCTAATCAGTCGTAATTTATCTTCACCATTAGACATAGCATTAGATCCACATCTGGGGTATGTATTTTATGATTAAGTATAATATACTTGTATTAAAAAATTACATTAATTTTTAAACTATAATCTATAAGTTAGTGTATTCTAATCTAACCATAATAACATCTTTCTTTTGTTTGATACTTTTATTATAATATGGGGGACACCAGCTGTATTCTGTGCTACGAGTATGAAATAAATCATATTGCTTCACTGTATTTCCTTATATGCTATGTTTTCTAAAATCATGTAATATGTGTATGTATAATTTTAGGAAGTGAATAGTTATCAAAAATCTGAGTCTATAAATTTTACTAACTGTAATTGAATTAGTTATTCTGTGTGCAGATTAAATATTTGTTTATACATTTTTTGCTGTATGTACTTTTTTAGTAAGTGTTTGATAGTATATTGATTTAATTTTTTATTTTGCCATATGTTTAAATTCTTAAACTGTGATTTGTCTTCTTAGGTTAATGTTCTTCAGTGATGCTGATAATATTGATCGTGCCAACATGGACGGCACAATTAGAGTGACAATTGTAAATACTTTCATATACAAAGCATCAGGTTTAACACTTGACTACGTCACTAAAAGAGTGTTTTGGTGTGATTCCCAGCTTGATCAAATAGTTGCATGTAATTATGATGGAAGTGGCAGGTAATTAATTGTATTATAATATACTTTTATCTGTTATAATCTGTATTAAAAATCATAGTACTTTCTGATTATTCACACCATTTCCAAAAGATTGCAAACTGATTGCGAACTTTGGAGAGCATTTGTAAACTCAATAATGTTGCAGAGAAGCATTTGTGTCTGTGCATTTGCACCTATTTCAAGGATACATCCAGTGCTACTTATTTTTTTACATTCTTCACTTTATGCATAAAAAGGGAAGAATGTAAAAACCTGCATACTTCTCCTTTCCCCCTTCCTCTGTTGTTGTTGAGTACAAACTCGTCACCAAAATCCTAAAAAGAAAAGTCAAAAAGAGGTGTATGATGCCTTTAAGTAAGCTATATTACACTGCAAATAGCTAAGCATGAGATTTTGCCAAAGACTATGACGACTGCAGTATGTATTCCCTCTGCTATGCTAAGCCCATAAGAAGGATCTTAATCTGCAGTTGCACTGTTGGAAATGTCTGGAGAAGTTGGGCACTGTTTTTGGGGGGGATGCTATGTGCATACTTATATTGCCACATAAATACTTATATAAATACTTTGTAGTTATATCACAGGTTTTGTACAGAAGCACAGAAGCATATGGTTTTGACAAAAGCACCATGTTCTGTATTATAGTAGAATTTGTTTGGGAGAAATTATGAAAGTAATTAAACATCTTTAATTTTCTGCTGATCTATTTATATATGAAATTTCTTCTTCTTCTTCTTCTTCTTTTTTTTTTTTTTTCCCCCACAGAATTGGTTCTTTCTAATTGCTTGAAGGAAGTTGGGAGTTTAAAATTTCAGCAAAAGTAATTATTTTGGGGGAATGTGCAGATAAGAATGTCTGTATATGGTCAGATAAGGGAAATAGAGGGTAAATTTAAATCGAAAACTAGAAATTGCCTTTTAATAGTTTCTTTGCTGAAGTGGTGGATTTTCAGTTGAAATCCATAGCAGTCACCATCTCAGCAGATATCCTTTAAAGAAATAACAGAAATAGGAGTTATAGAAATATATGTTAATGAAAAGAAAACAGTTTTTGGACATTCATTGTAAATAATCTTCTATAAATATAACATAATACTTAATAGATAATGTAAGGAAGCTTTTATTTTTGTTATTTTTATTTTTGTTATTTTTATTTTTTTTATTTTTCAAGTATGTGTGAATGTAAATAATATTAAAATCTATTTTCTTCTCATAAATAATAATTATTTTATAACACTTTAAATGCAATAAAAAGTTTTAACTGAATTCGTAAATTTATTTCTTTTTTAAAATAGGCATTCAATCATTCGCGGAAGTACTCGTGTGCCATCTCCCAGCAAACTGACTATGTTTGAAAATAATATTTATTGGACTGATGGAACACGGCAAGGAGTGTTGAAAACTGATTTGTATAACAATTCTCAGACTGTACTCACAATATATCGGGATCGCTCCTTGTTAAAAGAACCAAAAGCCATTAAATCATACCATTATTTACGTCAGCCAGTCGGTAAATATTTATTTCTTTATGTTTGTAAATAATTTTAAATATGCATTTTTGAAATATGGTTATAAACAGATAATTCTGCTTAGAATATGTGTGCTTATAATAATCGCTAAATATAATGAGTAAATTTTTTAACTAATATTTAAATGAATAGCATTTTTGAAGACAATATTTTATTATGTGATTATTTTAATTGACTTCCTGATATCTGCAGAAATTGTTCAAACTATGTAGTTGAAAGCAGTTTTAGAATTTTGAATTTATAATAATATGAATTTTTTTGCCAATTTCAAAAAGGTAAGAAAGGAAGTTCCATTTAATTCTTTGTCAGAATGTGCAATTTTTAATCCTTAACAAATACTTGTGATAAAATATTATTGTAGAACATGTTGACCTAGTTCAGGGAAAAATACATCCAAATACTTTAGTATTTATGAAATGCTGTGTATATTATTCATATAAATATTCTAACTTTTCCTCCATATTACAAATTTTAAAAGAAACAGGGTAACAGTATATAATGTAAAGTTTTAACTAGAATTGCATTTTGTTTTTAATTTCATGACCACAGTTGCATGTCATCCTGTTAGACATGAAACAAAATTGTGATTTCATTGTGGTGAAAAATAATTTAATGATTGTGAGTATTTTTATGGAATTTTGCCTATATTGCATGTGTTATTCATGCTTTAATTTATTTGAAAGTTTTTAACATGAAATTGAAGATAAATAAAGAATTGATTATAATCTGCACCAGAATGAATATGGTGTGAGTTTTAATGTGTCAAATTTATATTATGTTTTTATCTGAATTTTTTTAATACGTTCCTGGAAGAACTTTTTTCCTAGTTTGCTGAACAAAACTTCTACGATGACAAATGGTGTCTCAAGTTAATGAACATACATTTGAGCAACAAATAATTTTCAGGAGTGTCTTGATCAGTGTGGATCCTAAATCGTTGGCGGAACATGTGCAAATTAAAATTGGCTGCCCTTTTTTACAGAAATTTAATATGTTTGATTATCATTCTACTACTATTAAATGTGGCTCCCCATTGCTGTGCACCATCTTACCCCCCCCAACACACACTGTGATTGGCCCTGGTTTTGATGTAAACTCTGCTGCATAATTAATACAAAGGCATTTCTAGTAACATCACTTTAATATTTTTATCACTTAACTCTCACTCACTGTATCACTCTTAAGCCTAAGAGTAACAGCAAGTGATTTACAGGACTATGAATTCGGCCTGGAGGGAATTATAAATTATACCTAGATTGTATTGCTGCTAGAAATTTTGTGGATTTTAGCACTGCATGTTTTTTTTATTTGTTTGTTTGCTAGTAACTGTAATGTTGCATCTCTAAGTGAAACCCATGGGCTTGGAAATTAACAATGAAAATGCAGAGGAACTGCTATAGAGGACTATAAAAATGAGCTCAAGTAGAAAGAACTGGAATAACTTTAGAAACAGCTTTAAAAAGAAGCTTGTGGAAGAAATGACTTCAGAAGAAAGGGAAAATGATCTCAATTCTTTTATTCGCAAAATTTGTAAAAAAAAAAAAAGGGGGGGGGAGGTTATAGTAAGGTGCAAAATGCAAATGCAGGCAACAGATAATCACTTTGAATGAATTTTTAGTGAAATGGAGATCCAGTGTTCTGTCAAAAAAAAATTGAGTGATTCTAACAAGAGTTTTTTTTTTTTTTTTTTTTTAAATCCTCCAGAAACATAAATAACTGGATATTTATATGGAAAGAGAATTCTCAGGCAAGCAATAACCTCTCTTCCATTTATGCCGTCCAAACTCCTTTGTATAAATACAGTGTAATTAAGTTAAATTTTCAACTTTTTTGTATTTTTAATGCTGTGTAATTTTTTCTGCCTTAGATTTCAGATTTATTTTGTGTTAGGAACTTTTGCTTAAAATACTGTTGTAAATTTTAAATAAGCCATCATCTGTAGTCTAGGAACAGATTAATCCATTTTACATTAATTCCTGCTGGTAAAATAGTTTTTGTTTATGAGCATTTTGGATGACGACTGGCCTTCAGGAATGAATTGAATTCACGAACTAAAGTTTCACTGTATTTGTTTGTCCTTTACTAACAAAATATGTGCATACCTAAATTTCTATTACATTAAAAAACACAAGGTAAATTTTAATTTTTAATTAATTAATATACATTCTTTAAAGTTTATTTCCTATGTTCTGTAAAAGTATAATTTTTGCTTTCTTACAGTTCCAAATCCCTGTTATTTCAGCAATGGTGGATGTCAGCACATGTGCTTACTTACAAGATCAGCAGACAGTTTTGGCCTTGGTTACCGATGTGTATGTAATATAGGCTATGAAATAGCTCACAATGAAAAGACTTGCAAAAGTATGCCATGCTTATTTTGTTTTAATTTTTTTATAAAGTTTTAGTGATAAATATTTTTATAAACCTGTTCTTGCTTGTGCACATCAGTATGATGAGTTGAGGAGTCTCACAGCTTTGATATTGCCAGGTTATTTGAGATCTTTTTTAGTAAAACTAGATAATGGTTGTCACCTATGTATATGATTTAAATCACATATTTCATTTTGTAATGTCCTGTTCAATTTTCTTCATAAAAAATGGTTATTTTTTGCAATGATTTTCATGAAAGTTAAGCGATTCTTAAGGGATTGAGTTTGTCTTGCCTTGACAAACCTTTATTCGTGAAGAACCAAAACATGATCATTGATTGTAGCTACAGTGTGTAAGGGGACATCCAATGACGATACAGAAGGATTTAAATTTATAGCTCCGTATCTTTATTCAGTTCAAACGGCAGATCATTATTCTTTACTAAGTAAGATTAACTTTAAATTCACTGTGTCATAGTATTCGAACAAAGGGCAGATGAGAAGAGCAGCAGTAGGGGGAGAAAGCGGTCTCTGATGCAAGATAGCCTGAATTCTTCATTTATAGAAGCGGCTACATAATATGCTCGAATGTTCTCGAAAGTACTGGTCTAGGGGGAAGATCCTGAAATTGCGGAAAGTTAATTAGAGGTACCTGTTTGCCATCATATTTTTTATATTTTACACATACATATATGTCTAAGGTATGACAAAATACGATGACTGTGCTAACAAATGACTAGTGACCTCAAAATTAAGTATTCTAAATTTGCTGTTCCTCCCCCAAATTCATCTATTCTCCAAAATTTAAGATCTTTCCATTTTACATTAATGCTGCTTGAAAAATAGAACCAAAATCCAAAATTACCCAATCACAGATTAGCTATACTTATGCACCTATCTACTATAAATAGCTACTAACTGTGCAGTCTCTCTCTTTTCACCTGCTTGCTGACGACATGTTGCTCATCCTCTGCTGGTTATTCGCCATTACTTAAAATGCAATTGCATATATTAAATTGTGGGATGCATTTAGCATCCCTACTCTTCTATTTGTTATGAAGATATGTGTTAAAAAATTTGTCATTAAAAAATAAATGATGTTTAACTATCAAGCTGGTCGTGCTTCTTCTAAAATTCCATCGGATCATTCCACTTTGACGCATTGCCAATCATCTACGCTGCAGTATTTTCAGCCATGACTAGAACATGAATTCTTATTATTTCCTGGCTAAAGTAAAACATAGCATTTGTATGTTATATTTTTATAAATTTAATATTTTTACAAATACCATTTAATTGTTGGTATTAACCTTTCTTAAAATACTTTTATGCAAGATTGTAATAAGATCTGTACCTACATATGACTTGCACATTTTGCTTGTAGTTTATTACTTACATTTTGTTCGTTGCCAATTATAATCATAGTTTGCTTTCTTACTTATAGAGGTTGAAGAGTTTCTACTGTATGCTCAACAAAAGTTTATCCGAGGAGTATTACTAAATCCTGTAGTGAATGGTTTCTCTGATGCAATGATACCTATTGTGTCCAAAAGTGCTAGATTTGTAGGGCTGGACTTCGATGCACAACAGGGATATATATACTATTCTGATGTCGTTTTAGATGTTATTTATCGTATAAAAGTTGATGGAACTGGTATGTACTGAGCTAGTTTTATAACTATAAACTCAGTCATATTTTTTAAATTTTGATATATATGCAGAAGTATTTTTCATGCTAGATGAAGGTGGGAAATTTTCTTCTTTTTCACAAAGTAACCCACAAGTCATGTTCATGATAACATGCTAGTTTTCATAAGTTAATAATAGAGGTAATTTAAATTAGCTCAACCCCAAAATTAACTGAAATGAATTGTGCTTTAACCTCTGCATTATATCATAAATTTATGAACTACAGGTGTTCACGTTCATTTATGAACCTTGTATAACCTGTGAATATGGTACTAACTTTTATATATTCTTCTTATATAACTTTGGCTGTTCTCTGATCTACCAGCAATTCTCCACTTATGTATTAAAGAGAACTTGCAGCTATGTTACTTAAAATGATTTTCTTATTATTGATCATAAACCAATGAACGATTCTGGAAAATCTACTTTCTTGATAATATAATTAATTCACTTCTGTTGTTGGTGCCATTGCTACACTCCTTAATATTATGCGTGACACAGCATTTTATTTTACAAAATATATGCAAAGTTTTTTTAATTTCCATTTAATTATTGCATTTTCTAGATATTGTGCTTAAGTTGTATGAATCTTTTAATTGTGTCTGTTTGCAAGTCAGTAGAAAGATTTAAAGAAATGAAATCGGAAAAATTTTTGTTTCATGAACAAAATGGGAGAATTTTTTCTCTCTGTTTTTTGAAAATATTAGGTTGCATTTAAATTTTTATTAAGAGTAAAATCATCTGCATGTGCCAGTGCTTACAGATAAGATTTTCCATTTCAAGTTTGCTTCAAATTAAATTTGGTACAAAAATTAAGAAAGCAGTTTTTAAAAATAGGCAAATAGGTATGTATAGAAATAAACTGCTTTAGTCAAAAAAAAGAAAAAAATGTTTTTAGAAAATTTAAAAGAATTTTTTTAAATACAGGAGAGGTAAAGGCATAAACAATTTACAGGATTATGTTGAATTGCAAAATTCTAGGTTCCCAAGTTCTCAAATGCCTTGAATTTATTTCAGAAACTTTTGGAGAAAAATACATATGTGTTAAATAGATCTTCTAGTATGTTTGTTATTAATAAAATGTTGACTTAAGTTACAAAGTAGAATGTTTTAACTTGTATTTTATTACAGCGATTAAATTTAAATGACTTTAGATAAAATACTTTTCTATAAATGTGAAGAAGAATTTAGCACTATATTTTTGTATGTTAGTGAAACAATTATCGTATCAATGTAATTATTACTGTCTTAAATCATAAATGTGAAATTCTTTATAGATTCAAACATTCAGATATTTCAGCTGCTTTTTTTCAATGATATTGATGTTCAAATATAATTAAGCATTTAAATTACATTTCTATAATTTTTCTGATAGGTCAGACAAATGTGTTAGCATCTCAGAATGAAGGAGTTGAAGGTTTGGCATTGGACTGGGTGTCTAACAATTTGTACTATATTGACAGCCGTAAAGGAACTTTAAATGTTATAAGTACTGTTAATTTTCAGTATCGTAGGACACTGTTGAGAAATCTGAAACGACCTAGAGCTATTGTTGTACATCCTAATAAAGGGTATGTGTTAAAAATTCAGTTGTTCATTATTTAATGCAGCCATTTCTCAAAGTGATTGTGATAAAACTTCAAGTTTTAAGCATTTGCTTATATATTAATTTTCCAGTTCTTTTGTATATAGTCATTGAAATGTTGTTTCAGTTTCATCTGAAATGTTGTAGCTGTGTACATTAAATTAAAAAGTATGCATTTTAATGCTTAAAAAAGTGTACTTCAAGTGTTTCAATAAAAAATTAGTTTTACACGTTTATACCTTGAATGTTTTAGCATTTATAATCTGAAAGATCTTGAAAGTTAAAACATCTAACTGCATGGAAAACATCAGTTATCCTGAAAAGTATACATATTTTTAATTGCTTTTAAGTAAAGGAAAGCTTCTTTAGGGGGGGGAAGTATTCCTTTGGGCTTGAGAGGATATTAAAGAGGAAATTAGAACATCTAACTCTATGGAAAATATCAGTTACCCTGAAAAGTACACATCTTTTTAATTGCTTTTAAGTAAAGAAAAGCTTGAGAGGGTATTAAAGAGAAAATTGTTATACCTTGCACAATGACACAGAAGGGAAGCATATATTTATTTACATTTCATTAAAGCATCTGTCATCTTTTTGATGTGATGCAATTATTAATATTAGTTTTGCGCTGTTGTAAAATCCTGCATGTGATATCTTCAAAATAACCAGCTCCAACTTCCTTCCTGAAGGGAGGATTTCAATTTCTGAATTTTTAAAAATTTATATTCAATTATTATAAAAAATTTTAAGCTTTTATCCGCCAGTTAGAAACTAAAATGAAAGCTATGTGTGTTGTTAAAAATCTTATTGTATTATAGCTGTACTTAATTGATACCATGCCTTTCAATCACAGAATATATTTGCTTTCTTTCTGTAAAATGGATATTCTAACTTAATTTGCAAGTTATATGTTAAAATCATATTATTTTTGCATTTGAATCCAAAATTAAAATTTTAATGTGAAACTATCTAGTTAAAATTTTAATGCTTGTAAGGAATAAATTTCATTATAACGTTGAAAATGTTTAAAACCTCAAATATTTTGTGCTTCATATTTAAAGCTTTAAATTTGCACCCAAAATATGCAAATATATTTGTCTCTTTTTGACTGTATATTTAATCTGCTATACGTTGTTTGTTTTAGGTATGTGTTTTACTCTGAATGGGATCGTCCAGCAAATATATCTAGAGCATATCTAGATGGATCAAATTTAATGGTATTTAGAGGAGTTCTCCTTGGGTGGCCTAATGGTTTGGCAATTGATTTCCAGAAAGATCGTTTATATTGGTGTGATGCTCTTTTAGATCATATCCAGCATGCAAACTTGGATGGAACTGACGTTAAAACCATTAGTTCACCTCGTATCAAACATCCATTTTCACTAGTAATTCATCATGGTATGTTTTAGCATATTTTATTTTCCGTAGTAAATTAAGAAATTTTTATGTAATAAATGCATACATTGAATGTAAATATAGCTTTTAATTTAATTTTTATATTTAAACTTTTTAGAGGCAACAGAGATATGTAACATATGTGTACTTTTGGTGTATGTTATGTTAACATATTTACACGTGATGTATACAAGTTTATGAATTTTAACCCCTTGAGTACAGAGATTTATTTGAAAAAATTCTTGCATTTGGAACGGATATAATTTGCTGATATGTGAGACAGTATATATTTAAAGAAATTAATAATGAAGAATCTGCATGAATGTTTCTTGCATTGTGAAGAACCAACAGTACATAGAGCCATCAAATTTTGAATAATGTAGTCCTCCAACCAAACATAGGCACTTGGAAGCCCGAATTTTGAATTTCAAATTTGTTTTAGTATCTATTTAAAATTTTGTAAAACTTAAAGGAATTTTTCATTAATAAACTCAGCAATTTCAAAGCAAGCAATGGCAACACTGTATTGGGGGAGGGACATTTTTATCTCCAACGCACGAGACTGCATATCAGAAATTCTAAAGATATGCTGTTTTGCTGATTTTAAATAGTTTGTGATATTGTTGTTGAATTGAATTTTAAGTGTTTTAAGTGCAAACAGCATGATATTTAGTCTAAAAGGTAGCATACGAAACTTTTTTTTTAAAAAAAAACCACCCTTTTGGTTGTATAGTATAAAATCTGAAAACTTTCAGATTTTCTTTTTTATTATTAATTTATTTATTATTTGAGAATTCATTTATTCATGTCTCTTCAACTATAATATCCCAAAATCCTTAGGCAAAACAAGTACATGATGTTTGAGATCTGCTTCTTTTAGTTATCATGCAAGGTAAAGATCTTACTCAGCCAGGCGACTTCGGGCACAGATGTGAGGAAATAGTACACAGAGGAAAGGGTTTAAATTGCCCATTTATTTGATTAAGCTCTTCAATAAAAATGCACATGCTTCGTGTTCACACTAACACTGGCTACCTGTGGTGGGAATTTAAGAATAATTTAACAATAAATTTAAATGGCAAAGAATAGTGCTAGACTACTTGAGACTAATAGGCTGACTCAGCAACCTACACTGGCTGACTTAAACCAAATGGCTAGAAGGTGTATCAGCAACTCAGAGTAACAGCAGGAAAGACAGGATAACAACATGTGCTAGGCTAGGGAAATCACGCTCTGCTAACTTTCTCGTTTTGCCTGTTGAAATACTCTTCATCACTTTAACTTAATTTGCATCCTGGCAAGGAAATGCGAGGGGAAATTGAGGAGTTCAGAAGTGATAACAAAATTCAGAATAATTGGCTATTCAAACTAAGGGAAACCCTACAGTTGAAACTCAGTCATCAAATGTACCACTAAGGGTTTAAGTTACATTGTATATATCTTTTAAGAGTTACACAGTATGCAAAATTTAAGTTTATGAAAACTTTTTGAATATAAAAGTGAAGTATTATATTCATGTTTAAAAAGTGAAGTATTATATTCATTGGTATTAATTTTTTTGTTCCTTTATGCTGTTAGTGGGTTAATTTATGTAAATCCAAAGTTTCCAGCCTTATATACTTCTGAAAGAAAGAGAGAAAATTTTAATCGGGTCATCTAGATGCATTCATTCAATGAGAACTGTGTTCCCCTGTAAAAGTAATCTAAATATTCTTCTCCAAAGTGTTTTATAACTGCTCTTTTCATGCCATCATCATTATTAAATCCTTTTCTACAGTAGCTAGTAATCACAAGGGAGGTGGTCATATTCCTTAAAATAGCACTGCTGTTTTTGAATTACGGAAATAATGTTGTGGTGCTCATCGTGTATAGACTTTGTTTGTGTGAAAGTTTTCATATAGAATGTGCAAAATTGTTTTATACATATCCAATCTTGCTGCTGTTTCCTTCACTTTTAATATTATCATAAAATATTTTATGATGTCAATGCCTTCGATGGTTGACCTTCATGGGAATCAATTTCTACAGATTCCTCAGTCCATGTGAAATTGTTTAATCCAGTTTTTCACTGCAGAATAAGAAAGAAGTGAATCAAGATAGACATGCTTCAAGTGTTGTTTTATTTCTTTGAAATTAAGTCCTCCTTTAACCAAAAATTTAATCACTGAACATTACAGAGCAGACTAGTGCATTATGTCATTCAATAAACAATTAAAAAAGAATGCATACAGTTTTTCTTGTGAAACTTTGGAATTTCTTCATTTAGTAATGCCACAACATGTCTGTAAGAGGACTTTATTGCCAAACAATTTTTTATATGGGAGGCTGATAATTTTTAAATCTACCTAAGTATTAACTGGGCACCCTCTTTCATAAGGATATGTGTATGAGTTTGAAAAATTAATGTTTTCGAAGCCCCATAGAACAAGGGACCCCTTGGAATTGTGATCAATACACCTATGCTGTTTGCTGCTAACAAATCCTTGATGGAAATTGTTTTTGCTGCCCTGTTGAGATTTTCTTAGTGAATTGTGTTTTTGCTTCTATTGATAACTTTTTAAATTAATAACTGCTGTCCTCAAATATAAAAATAAACTTGATATAACCAATCACAAAGAAGTATATGTAATACAACAGTTCTTAATCACTATTTTATATGAGATCTGAATTCATATTTCTGTAATTTTGAGGATAGGTTTCTTTTTGAAAACCCAACAAAAAGTTTAAAACGTTAAAATTTCCAATTCTATTATAAAATTAATAATATTTTCTTAATCCATTCAGTTTTATTAATCAAAATTCTTTTGTAATTAATTTATATTGAAAGTTATTTTAAGTGTGTATGGATATTATAAATGTTGGTTTAATGATTGATAAAAAGCTTAAGTTCTCAGAAACAATATTTAATACAAAATAATGTGAAATACATAAGTCCAAATGCTATTTTAAAGTTTGGTGTCCAAAATGACATTAATCCCATTGTATTATAATACATTCAGAAATTCAACTAATTTTGAAACTACGATTAACACTTTAAACTCCAGAAGGGACACAGTCAGTCACTTCTGCTACAATATACTGAGTGAAGACACTAGCTTTTGAGGACAAAGAGGTAATATTTAATAATTACAGAAGAGTAAAGCATCAATTTTTATTTGTGCATATGTAATATTTTGATGGTTCAGAGTAGCAAGAGAAAAATTAAGTATAATTTTTCACACTTTTTGACTTCCCATTTTACTCTTCCGCTCAGAGAAGACAATTGTTATAGTTTATTAAATATTCATTTTGAATATTTGTCATCTGAAATGATGTAACAAGTTAATATTTATTGATGACTGCTATGTTTTTAAGAATAATAAGTTGTGTTTTATTCATTGCTTTTCTTAATTCTGCTGAGAAATATGTTTCCTTTTATTATATACCAATTTCTTTGTTGTCTTTTATTCAGATTACTTATATGTTACTGACTGGAGATTAGATGCCATCTTGAGAATGGATAAAGAGAGTGGAGCTGGAGAACAAATTGTTGCTAGTGTAGAAGAAGGCAGTAGATTATATGGAATTAAAGTGTTCAGTCGAGAGAACCAAAGAGTTGATAGTGAGTATAAATTTAATAATAAGTGCACTCAATGATTTTAATTTTCTGTAATTGGAAGTCATAGAACTGTATTTGATATGAGCATATGCAGTCTTACCTGAATATATGATACTTATGATTCTTTCTTCCTTACCCAGATCGACATCCTTGTTGGAGCAATAATGGTAACTGCCAAAAATTTTGTTTCCCAATTCCATCAAACAACAGTCAAGGCCCTGATCTCCAAGTTCAGTGTGGCTGTCCATATGGAGAGCGTTTAGCCGCCGACAACAGAACTTGTCAATCTGACCCTGATGCAGAACCACCCGTGCAAGCATGTCCTAACTCATGGGACTTTACTTGTGATAATCAAAGATGTATTCCAAAAACGTGGGTTTGTGATGGGGATGATGATTGTCTGGATAACTCAGATGAGATGCAAAACTGTACAAGTAAGATAATATTTGAATATTTAACATGATATTACAGTTTTTATATTCAATTTTTAACACAAAACACTGGATAGGCTACCAATAAAATATGTAAGATTTCATTGTTTTTGATGAGTATTTAAATAAAATCACAAAGTGAGTTTTTGATAAGGAAATACCTAAGTCCATCTAATTATGAATTCAGCATGAACCACCCATACAAGCATGTCCTAACTCATGGGACTTTACTTGTGATAATGAAAGATGTATTCCAAAAACATGGGTTTGTGATGGAGATGATGATATTTGTCCCATTCGATTTTGATTATCCCATCCATTTGGATATTGTTTTCATAAGGTTTACAGTTTTCTCTTGTGTGACTGTGTAAATGTATTGTTACGTTTCCTTTTTCTGACACCAGTTGTTACGTTAATTTTTTCTTTCGCATTCGTACGGGGTTCGTGAGAATTTGGAGTGAATAATGACAATACAACTTGATGAAGTATCGAAACACAGTTTATTGGCCAGTATTGTCAGGACAGCTCCAAAACACATTTTTACAGTCGTCGATGAACTACTATAAACACGCTGACATGATCAGCGATACATCCTCCAGGTTATCAGGCTATCACAGTGGAGGCAGCTTCATGGCAAAGCACTAGAGTGCAGCTCCCAACTCTGCTTGGTCGTTCTCGGAACTCCACATACTCTCAAGACTTCCGATGTTTGCACCAGGGTCATGAATTGAATCCGGTCCTTTACAAGGAGAAGTATCTGTGTTTAGAATCAAGTCCTTGTCTGCAAAACCTGCACTATGAGGCATACACCCAGTTTGTGTGTGCCTCATACACACTCTCTCGACAAGGCAGACACACTCTGCCAAGGAGACCCAACACACTCTCTTGACAAGGCACTAACCGCAATACACTAAGAGACTCCTTCGATGCACTTGACGACCCACTTCCGCAGGAATTGAATTGCTAGACGAGACACCAACTCGATACTATCTCGCACTCTATGCGGGGCACTCACTAACTCGCCCTCTCGACGAGGCAGTCTCTCAATACTAACTATCTCGCCCTCTAGACGTGGCACTCACACTAATTGACTGCAGACCAGCAGGGTTTATATAACTTCCGGCTTGTGTTTGAGAACATTCTGGGCTAAACCTGTAAGAATTCGTTTGAGAAGGTTCTCTGTCCTTCCATGGCATGTCGCCAATTTCTTCTCCAAATGGGTGATTTCTCGCCAAATGTGGCAAACCTGCCTCCACTTGCCATTTTACGGCAACCCTAAACTGCTTTGCAGGAAAGCCGTCTTACCGCGCCTGTTCATTTCGTAACAGTATATTATTTTCTAATGAAAAAAAAAAAAAAAATTTCATTAGGCTTTTAAAACTCAAATATTAATTTAAAGAAATAAAGCTTATGTGAATCAATAAACATCAGTAATCAAATATATAGTACAGTCAAAACTCGTTAATCCGGACTCGTCGGGACTTCGGCGATTCCGGATTATAGATCATCAGTTTAAATCTCGTAAGATGGCATACAGAAATTCTAAAATTAAAAGTATGAAACCGTAATTTATGAAATAAAGAACAATTATGATCTAAAGGGTATCAAAATTTGCAAAAAGAAAAAGCTTAATATTTATTTGTTTACTTTATTAAACATTTTTTCAATGTAAGTTGTTTAAGTTTTGCTCCGTTTCATGTGATAATACTTTCTCTTTAATTCTATTAAACAGACATAATTTCTTGTTCAGTTACAAAGTTCCGCTGTTCAAGTCCTATAATTGCTGTGTCGAGAATACTGACTAATTTGTCAATCGAAATTTTTTCGTTTTCAATAACCTCTGTCACTTTCTTCGCTATCGGAAGCGAATTATAATGACGAGGAACTTGTTTTAAATGATATTAAAGACGGAGCACATCGACATGAAATACTACATTTGATAAGGAATTATAAGCCAAATAAAATAAAAACATCTGCCCTGAAGATAAGGATAGTGCTGACAGATCAACTTCCAATTCATTACGCGCCCGCCGCGCCGTTCCCCCCGCCGAGCAGCGTGAAATTGATAAACAGATTTCGGATTTCAAAACAGACTTTCGCTTTACATCCTTTACATATTAATAAATATATATCGGAAATTCTATTTGATATAATCGAAAGTTTAAACTTACTTTTATAAAATTGCTCTTACAGTCTGCAAAAAATAATGAGCCGGATCCAATTCGAAAATTAAGGAACAACGCAATCATCAACATTAACTGAAATAGATAATTATTTAGCTTATACATCCATTATACATAAAACGCGCACGCGAAAACGTATTCTGCACTTGCGCACACTCATATGCGCAGTCGTAAAATGTCTTACGTGCACGCGTAAAGCCTATGCGCATGTGTCAACGCGGCGCATGCGCAGAACGTTTTTAGTTTTTGAGGTCCGGATTATAGATCATTCCGAATTATGGGTGTCCGAATTAACGACTTTTGACTGTAGTTAGAAATTCTGTCAAAGCAAAGATCGATATCTTTGCAACTTTATTGTTTTGTGTCATTTTTCAAATTTCAATTTTTTTCAGATGTTTTCTATTAATGCATTTTTAAATTTAGTTTATTACTTTTCATAGAAAGCACCTGTGGACCTCGAGATTTTACATGCAGTGGGGGACGTTGCATACCTCAATCCTTCCGATGTGATTCAGATAACGATTGTGGTGACTATTCAGATGAAATGGGATGTGGTAAGTTGAATTTTCACTACTTTTATTTTTATTATGTTACACATTTTCTCAACATGGCAGCTTAAAATGTAATTTATGTGTTGATAAAAAAGGTACTTGATTCTTTCTTTCTTCCCTCCATATTTATATCTGTTAATATATAGAAGTATTTACTGCATATAAACATTTAATACATAAATTGTATTTCATAAATTTATAATTGCTGCATTTATTTGCACTTGCACAATATGTACTGAATTTTTTTTTTTTTTTTTTTTTTTTTTTTTGTAAAATTGGTATCAAAAAATTTGACTATAAAATTAATAATGTTTGAAAATGTGAAGTGGAATAAATATAGAAACAAAATAGAAATTCAAGCCAATTAACTATCTAAATACTAGAAATACAATTTTTAATTTACATTTTTATTTAATACTCTATTTAAATTTTCTGCAATTTTAATTGCAAAACTGGAACTGTATTTATTTCTGAAATTTAAAGTCTGTGAATGGCATTCTGAACACGTCTTTGTCATGATTATGTTTTCTTATGTGACGAATATTTGATCCATCATTAAAACTGATTCAACTGAATGTGTAACTCCAGACAAAGACATGATTGCTGCTGAACGAGTAATTTGCGTTAAATGATATGGGCTGTATTGTTAAAACGTATTGGAAAGCTTATAGCATTTGTTTAATAATATTTAATCCATCAATGTATGTTAGCATTACTCTGTCTGGTAATTAATAATTATTATTCTTTCTAAAGTATTTTATATTAATATTTAGATTTATTGAGGCAATTGACTTCTATGTGTTTCTAATATTTTCCTCAACCTCTCATAGGTTTGGCTACATTACATTTTATGTTTATCACTGCTTTAATTTCAGTTTTTAAATCACAGATTCTAACACCCTTTTCTTATTTATTTTGTGTGTGTTAATTATATTTGTGAACACAAAAACTTTTTTCTTTTCTTGCTTGGTCCATCAGTGTACATTAACATTAGTCTATATTGTAATTAATAATTATTATTCCCTCTTTCAGTCAATGTCACATGTGAAGCAACTGAATTTCCTTGTGAGAATGGAAGGTGTATTCCAAAATCTTGGAAATGTGATTCAGAGAACGACTGTGGTGATGGATCAGATGAAGGAGATTTCTGTAGTATGTTTATTTTTGTATATCGGTATTTTATTGAAATAAATTTCATTTTGAATTTAGAAGTGCTATATATGGTAAATTAAAAGTAAGTATTGTTAGTAATATCATTCAGAACTAAAATTTAAAATTTCTTTGCAAGAAATGAACAAAATTAAGTGTTTGCCTTTCACTAAGTATGTAAGAAAAATGTATCTTAGTGAAATGTTTAAAACAAAAGCTGATGTGGACACCACTTCCTTGTATGGCCTATTAAATTATACTCAATTTTTTGCTTTATTTCATTCAAACTTATTTCCTCGAATAACTCGAACTTAATTATTTGGTCCTTCAAGACAAATTGAAAGTGACATCAAAAATTGCAAATTTGAAAATTAAATATCCTGGTCAATTTTTGTCTAAAACTATCTAAAATATAAATATGGGAACCTAGATTAAAAGTTAGATTTTTTTTTATTTGTCCAAAATTAATTAAAAAAACATTGTCAAACATGAATATTTTTGTGATTTAAAAAACATCTGTAACTGTAAGTATATGACTACAACCAACATTTGCAAAAATATAGGCTGGGTAAGAACTTTTAAGCCAGGTAAGGGTGTGAGTATACTGAAAATTGCAATAAAAAAGGGAGTTGCTCAGCTAAATGTTATAGCAGTCACATATATGAAATGTTAGTGTTCTGTGGAAATCATTTTTGAGTTATGGGAGATATGTATGCATGTACAGATGCCATAGAGAAATCCATTTTAAGTCCAACTTACAATCTGTTGTGGGAAAAAGAGTCTAATTTGTCCATACATATTAACATCATGCCCCCCCAAAAAAAAATTCAGAATGCATTTGGAACTGTCCAATTGGATTTTTCTGTTGAAATATGATATCCAGAATTCTTTGTGATTACTTTACTTCCTGTACTTCGTATGTGGAAGTAAAAATCCAAGCATTTTTTACTTTTAAATGAAAAATTATAAATTTTGTTAGATAAAAATGATTTTTTAAGGTCAAAGCAGTTAAATTAATTGAATTGGAGATGGTGTTTAAACTGAGAGTAAAGTCTCTTGAATGTTAGTGACATCATACCTTGCATACAGATGTAAACATTAGTTTAAGCGTATAATTTATCTAAAATTATTAAAAGTTTTATTGCAACTTTTTTTTATGCTAACAGAATAAAATATTGATCACCTCTTCTAATATTTTATATGACGGTAGAGATTTGTTATAGATTAAAAGTAAATTTTTCTTCTGTTATCTCATGGGTAACTTCATCGTAAGTTGCTTAAAAAAGGGGGGGGGGGAGATAATAGGTCCATTTCTTCATGCCACTGGTTTACAGATGTGGATAATATCAATTTTCCCTCATTTTTCTGCCTAAATATTTTGGTTCAAATTTTTCATTAGCTGTTTTAGCATTTGACATCTTGTTTAAAAAAGTATCTCATATTTCATTCTTGAATATGGGAATTTATGAGATTAATATATCAGAATATTCATTACCGAAATCGCATACAATCCACTGAAAATGACAGTTATTTTATTGTCTTGGAAGACTGAAATAGTTATTTTGTATTAACTTTTGAATTGATTCATTGAAATAAATTTGTAGTTGTATTTCTGTAGTTTAAATACATCCTCACCTCAAAGGAAGAACTTTTTTCTCATAATTGAAAAACTGCCAGAGCCTTTTCCAATTTGAACGCAATCCTCTTTAAAACTTCATGCAATTTATGATGTACTAATTGACTTGATTGAATCATGTTTTGCTTGCATTGTACAAGCAAAACATTACATTTTTGTGTATCAAGATTCCAGTGCTTGAAGGCTATCACCCACTATTACTGTGCAACTCTATGAAAAACTGTTAGTAAGAGCTCCTTTCAAAGCAGTCAGCTGTGAATACAGTTCCTTTCACTTTTTGCAGAAATAGTTTTTTCTGTATATCTATACTGACTTGCTGCAGAAATGTTTCTCTGAGTGCACAGTGAATTGCTGTCATGAAGCATGAGACATCAATGGTATTTTCTTTGTGTTGCGTATTAGTCTTAATTACTCACTTTGTCTGCAAGCACAAACAAGGAGCTTAAGTTTCCGGCTGTGTTTCAGATGGTGAGTGACAGTTTATTGCAATATTTGTCACTGCTTGTAAATATGCACTGATACAGCTACACAGTAGTTAGGTATCCACACTTTAGCATGTCTAACGCAGCACCCGTATCTGCATATTAATCATGCATGCTATGCCCTGTTTTTAGAAGTAAACACTCCCCCCAAAAAAAGGCATACTGTCAGTCCTGCTCTGTTGATAAGCCTGTAATAAGCATACATTACAGATAATTGAAGTACAGTATTTATTTGAGAGTCGATTAAAAAATTAAAGAAAATTTATAAAAACCATATGATCTTGCACAGTTGAAAGTGACTAATCTTTTTATCTGGCATAAATATGTTTGACATATAATTTAAGAGTCTAAAATATTAATTGTTACAAAATATATAACTGAGGCTTCTTATATTCATTCATTATATGCAAGTCCCAGCAGATTAAAACATAGTAAATGCAAATTTAATTTGTACAAGATTTTGTAAAGTTCCTTGTAGTTGAGAGTGCTGAATAAAATCATGAGATAGATCCATATTGGTCTGAAAGATTGTGTGGATACAAGATATTATGTGCACCTCTTAGTATAATAACTATGCATAATCTTGCATAATTTATTATTGTAGCAATGTCAGCAAGCTTAAAGGGAGATAACAACTAAAAATTTGCATCAAGTACATCAGATCTTTAGATAGAAACACTGACTACAAAGACTTTGAGATTTATCGTGTTTTAAAATGATTTTTTTTTTTTTTTTATTATTTAGCTTTATCTTAATTTCAGATTATGTTTATTGTTACTAATTCCTAATTCTGGGAGAAGAAGGTGTTGATAGTAAAGATTCTGAAATTTCAGGGTTAAATTTTAAAACTGTAAATTTAGATGCATTTTATACTCATACTGTCAAAAGCCCACAGTAATATTTCTTTTAAAAACTTACTTTCTTTTAATATATAATGTTTCTCTCTTGTTTTAGCTGAAAAAACCTGTGCATACTATCAGTTTACATGTCCAGGGTCTGGACACTGCATACCTCAGAACTGGGTTTGTGATGGAGACAATGATTGTTTTGATCATGCAGATGAACAGAACTGCCCTCCAATTACTTGTACATCTTCACAATTTCAGTGTGCAAATCAGAAGCAATGCATACATGAAAGTTATCATTGTGATGGTGTTTCAGACTGTCAAGATGGTTCAGATGAACAAAACTGTCGTAAGTAAATATTCATTATTATGCATGATGATTATTAACCAGGAATTTCTGATAATTGTTATGCTGTGAAATTTTGTTATGCAGGAATAAAGTTGTTTAATAAAATGGATATTAGATACTTAGAAATCTCTTTAACATAAAAATAATGAAAAGTACCATTAGTCTTCAGCTGTATGTGTGTTGGAGGTATGAAAAATTTGCATTATTCATTCTGTACTGGGGTATATGTTTTATAAAAGTCTGGTTTTATTTCCAAAATCTCCAAGGAATTAGTATTAAGTCTCAAATTGGTGATAAATATGATTAATAAATAACATAGTCATTAGCTGTATATTATTTGCCGTTTAATATATGCACCAGAAAAAATTAATTTTATTTACTGAAATAATTTATAAACTTTGCTCAAAATTTTTGTTTAATAGGAAAGTTTTTAGCATATGATAAGCATCAGTCTGTGACATTCCTGTTCGATAAGAGCATTAATGTAAGCAAGGAAAATTTTGATTTAGTACATTAAATTTGAAATTAGCTGGTTTTCATTTGTATAAATATCTGAATATGAGTCTTAACATATACAAATGAATATGTTTGTTAAGCATTTAAATATTGCTGTAATTAAGTCATACATTTTGTTAACTGCCAGCATGTTACTGTATTTTGTTTTGTTTGATTGCATGGTTTACTGCATGATTGTTTTAATGTGGAATGAACCATTTCTGTTTCTAGCGTCAAGAGCACCTGACCAATGCGAACCTGAAAAAACATTCCAGTGCAGAACATCTAGAATTTGCATTCCTAAATCTTGGTATTGTGATGGCAATTCTGATTGTGAAGATGGCAGTGACGAGCCAAGTTCATGTGGTAAATGGATATGTTTTCTTTCCTGTCATTTAACATATGTTTGACATAATATCCTTTCTATTAGAAGTCTTATAATATATAAAAATAGTATTAAGAGAAGTTTTTAAAATTTATTTTACTGCCCTGGTTGATAACATTATTTAATCTTGTTTGTTAAACTTTCCATTTCGTATTATCCTTTATTAGTTTCAAAACAGCATTTTGTGTCAAAACACTTAACTGTGTTGTATCACTTTTCAAATTGTTGCCACCAAATATTATCTCCTTGTATTATAAAGAAATTAAATAATGAGGAATCTGCATGAATATATATAGGTTTCTCTCATTGTGAAGAAACAACAGTATCTGGAGCCACCGAATTTTTAATAATTCATTTCTCCACTCAAACATGGGCATCTGGAGGCCGGAATTTTAAATTTTGAATTTCTTTTAGTATCTATTTCATATTTTGTAAAACTTAAATGAATTTTTATTAACAAACTCGATGATTTCAGAGCGAGCAGTGAACATGTTTGTTTCCAGCATGTGAGACTGTGTATAAAAAATTCCAAAGTTATGCCATTTTTACTGCTGATGAATTGCATATGGCATAAATGCGAAGAAAATGATGCTTAATAATAAAGCTAAAAAGACAACAACAACAACAATAAATGTGGTGTTGTAGGAGTTAGTGTAACAGCCAGACTGGTAGACTGCAAGCTCAGCGAAAACATAAAAAGTAGCACAGTAGCTTTTAGGCTACTGTTAAAATCTGAAACCTTTCAAATTTGTTTTCAAGTTATTTGGTTTTATTCCAGTAAAAAGTATTTTGTTGCATTTCTCCCACATATGCTATTTAATTAGCAATTTTTCACAAAATTTATTGATCCCCTTTAAGGGGACTCATCACCTTCAAACCATAGATGTTTCGCCTAGGTGGCTGTTGCAGATGGGATCCTATTTAGTTAAAGCATTCCCCACCCAACTATTTACAGCTGACTCCCTATAGCTGCTTCTGATAGTATACGAGTTTGTGTTGCCCCCCCTTTTTATACTTTACCGCTTTGTGACACATATTTCGTCCTGCTTTCCCTTGCGCGCCACAGTTAAAACATTTGTTTCACATTACTTCCATTTAATTATCTGCTTCTCTAACCCTTTCGGACCACTCACTTGTGCCCCCTACCCCTTTTCCCACCTTTCTGTTACATTTTCTTTCTTGCGTTGCAGCTTCTCCCTGTATTTTTCCCCACCATTTGATGTTTTCGTCCTACCCCTCTTCCCTCTTCCCCTCATCCCTTCAGCTTGTGGTTCCGTTCGCCACTACCGTGCCCCTACCCGACTTCCCCTCATTTTCAGGGTTGTGCCCTGCCTTTTAACATCCCTGCCGCGCAGTGGAAACTGGCACCGCCACTATTTACTACCACCAGCGACAGTCTCAACATAACCATCACACACCCCTATTTGTATACCACCGCGCAACAACCCCCTTATGCGCTGCGTAACAAGAGCTTTTCGATCCAGACAAAGATCGTCATGTCATGACAATAGTTACCGCATGTCCAACACACGCACAGAACCCAAAGTACACACACATGTGATTTCGACCCACTGGCAACACATGCCCGACGACCAAGCACTTTCCCGTGACCCGCACAACATATCGAGACAACGATCACGACAGGGGCTTACTCTGACTCCGCCAGCCACCATTACAAGCGTGCAAAATTTTCACACAACGTGGCAACCCGACAACGCCCACCCATTATCCTCCTAAAGTTATCCCCTCTGTCAGGAAAGTTTCACTATAAACAAAACCATACCCACAGTATATCCTACCGATAGCCCTACATTATGATAAATCGATCACAATATCGCAACTTACCTTTCACGACCCCATCCAATCTAAACCAGCAAACCAGCACCACCTATTTCGCTCTCGAACGTTTACAATTTACACCACTTGATGCCACGTACCAATTGCATTCGTATGAGTGCTCATTGCAAATATAAAAATTTAAATGCGCACACCTTGCGTAAACATGAAGTTTTGTTATCTGTAGGCACAACCACACACGGTTCCCAAACAAACACCGTACAACCCTATGCCAGAACAAAGCGAATTAGCACAGAATTAATAAATTGGACCTAACATAATCCTCTCGCCGGATTCATGAGCTCCTTTCACAAACTGTTCGACAATGTCAATATATGAACACGACACGATCGTCGTACAGTCAAACCCAGCTAATTTGCTAACTATCAATTATTCATGGCTCAAAAACTCTAAAAGTTTCTGCATCGCAAAGATTTATCAATTTTTACCATAAGTAAGACGAAACCTAGTTAAGTCATAAGTAACCAACGGTGAGTAGTATCATACTAGATTAAAAAGTTTCGAAATCGTGTAAAGGGAAGAATCAACGCAGCCTGAAACAATATCCAAAGAGGGAAAAAACATACTTCAATTAGTAATATGTGTTGTAAAACTCACTTTCCACAAGGGACAGTTCCACCATTAACTACAAAAACCAACCACCAATACCGCCACTCCTCCCACTAGCAGACCAGAATTAGAACAACCAAGATTTAAAGTGCCGGAAGGTACTTAAAGTGCTAACAAAAACCTTTTAACGCCACCGAAAAAACCACAAACAATAAAGAAACTTACAAAATGAAGGTATTTACGAGGATTTAAATAGATAGGTGATAGCTCAATTCATTAGTTTTTCTCAATTGCTATTTGAAGAACACAGTTCTTTTTTGTGCAGCAAAATACCCGTTTTCCAAATTAAGAATTACATTAGACTGTGACATTATAGATGACGTATTGCGAGATAACGAGTCGATGGTTTGAAAACAACATACCAGGAATTAAAAAAACGTTCGTACTGAGAAGCTTCAAAACTCTCCACTGACTAATGGATGACGGGAATGTCTGAATCTGAAGTCATCTTGACAAGGCGTCGATGCCTTCCATTTGAATTTCACTTTTCGATCCAGTGGCACGAATCTTTTTGGATGCCTGATATCCAAAAAGATATATAATCTTTCAGGTTAATTTTGTAGATCACAGCAAATTAACAAAGTTTATCACTATATTTTTGTAAACTTTCTAATACGCATATGTTTTCATACATTTCATCATCTATATCCATTCTATTCTAAACTAAACTCAGTGGCGTCACAGCCCTAATGGGCCAAGGTCTGCAGTGCCAGTCTTGACCGTGGGTCCCGGGGTGCGTAAGCATATGCCCTGAACAAGTGGTCAGCTTTGTCGCAAGGACCCCCTGTTTAGCTTCAAGCGAACTTGGTACTCTTTATGATCAAGTGATGGAATTCAAGGGGATGAAAGGCTGAGTCGACCTTGCCCAGCCCGAAATCGAACCCCGAACCTGTGGTTCTGCTGTGCTATGCGCTAGCCATTGCGCCACCTGGCCTTATCCATTCTAGTTAAAATATTGCGGAATAGTGACTTCAGTGAGTTTTCGTGAAAGCCACATTTGTGTTTAACTTGCACTATAGTTTGAGTAACTTAAAGATTTAAAGCCATAAATATGCTACCTAAAATATTCAAATAGTGGATTAAATTTCTCATGAAAGTTTTTGGCGTAATTCATTTGATTACTACAAAGCACGCTAGGGCTATTTTCCTAAGAGAGGGTAAGTCTTCGTAGAGGACTTTCTGAGCAAAACTGGATTATATCCACGTTACACATGGGGAAAACCACAAAAACGCTCATGCAGCCAACTCGGAATCGAGGACTCAAACACAGGTCGAACTGCAAGAGTTCAGCGAATTTAGTCGCTGATGGCCCATTTCTTATGATAGATATCTGATAACTGGCGCCAGTTTCATCTATAATTATTAAATTGTAATAACCCATGTTTGTTATTCCAAGAATATTAGCAAACTGAAATTTCTAAATATTAGCAAACTGAAACATTGTGCAGAATGTTGCATCAACACCCGTTGCAACTTAAACTGGTTTTTCCATATATAGATGTTATCCGTTTCTGATTTGGTGGACAGATTAACTGTACCTGTAGCGAAGCAATGTGCTCCCTTGGTTCAGATCTATTGCGAGCTCGATCTCTTTTCCTCCGTCCCTCTTCAGGATGCCGCTGTTTCGGAATCGCTCCTTCACTGCACCAAGTAGACAAAGCCTGATTGGGAGCTCTCTTCCGTTCCCAAGGTTGATCTGAAACTTTTGGGACTTTATGGCTAACTGAAGAAGAGGAGGATAGAATAGAAGAGGCGATAAGCTTATCTGACTGGTCGCTGTAGGCTGGAGATGAAGCTCCCTGACGATCAGCTTCACTTCGATCTTCTGCAACAGCTAGAAACATAAAGTCATACTTTAATAGAGTTGTAAGGTTTATCCTAAGTTTTTAAGCTTAATTAAAGCTACTTTCCTGTCCCTTATAATTTCAGCTTACAATTTCCTGGCAGAGTGTGTTTTTAGAATCGCGGTTAATGCAAATGAAAGAAGAGCGGTACTTAAGTCGAAGTTCCACTGACTTCGTTAGAGAGCCGGCGATTTTAACTAGCCCGCGTTTATCTTTTGGCTACACTCTCTCTAAGCTATTACTATGCTCCAGCTCTAGCATATTAAGTCATTAGAAGTCTACAGTACAAAAGCGAAATTTTAGGAGCTCCAGCATATGTTTTAAAAATTCGACAAAGAAAAATATTTTCGATCAATTTTACCCCTCTAATCAGTATCTGTAAGAACATATATATACGTGAATATTAAAATATGTCAAAGAAATCAAGGCAATATATTAAAAGTACACAAATTCAGGTATAAAATAACAGGAGAATTTTTATATTAAAATCAAGAAAATAATTTTTTCTCATAGTAGATTTGGAAAATTTGTGCTTTCTTAGGGAAAATCCTGGCCGATCAGAGGATTAACTCACTTGTGCAGTTTAGTTATTGTCCTACAGAAAAACTAAGCAAGATGTTATTCCTTTGATTGAGAAATTAAGTCATTAGAAGTCTACTGTGGAAAGCTTGCGCCTTAACAATGGTGCTTAAATTAAGTGCTAAACGAAATTTCT